TTTGCAGGATTCGAAGAGGAAGCGAAGTCGTATCCAGCTTTCGACATGAACTTGTAGGCGTTTGGATTAAAACCTTATTCGGTCCTCTTAGTTAGAAGAAAGCTTGGTTCCACCCCCTTTAGCAGAGCTTTTATGAAGCCTTGTGGTAATCTTGCAACCTTAGCGTCGCCTAGTTGTGTCAAAGGCAAAACTACATTCATCTTGAGTAACTTCACATTATCCTTGTGCCACTGTGTATCGGCTTTGCTTGCTTCAGTTTTGAATGGGGATTGACCATTCTTTCTTCTTAACATATGGATGTATTGGAAGACGGGTGTGTTTGGTCCTTTTGAGGGCGTCCTACTCCATTTGGTTGTTGCAAGTTTAGCAGGCTCATCATCGTTTTTGCTTAAAGACTGCATGCTTTCTTCTTCTTGCTTCTTGGGCAGGATTTGCCACTCTTGCGTTTTAGGTGTTACTTTGCCCGTGGATTTAATCTCTTTTGGAAGAGTTTCAGGCACCATGTTTTCCTTCATGTAGAACTTGGCGTCTGCGAAGTGTGATTCGGCTTCGATGAATGACTTGGTATCTTCTTGGATCATCTTCACTCATACTCGGTAGAATTTTAAGCATTGGTGGATGATGGATGGAACTACTCCATTCTCATGGATCCAAGGCACTTTTAAGAGTAAGCTATAATAAGTTATTGCATCAATCATGTGGAATATTGTGCTTGATTTGAGTTCATCAATGATCATCTCCATTCGGATCATGCCCATCGCTCTTTGTCCTCCTTGATTAAAACCTTGGATTAGTAAACGGTTTAGGGATAATTCATCCACTTTGATGTCGATTATGGTCATTGTTGACTTTGGCATGATGTTTATGGCCGATCCACCATCCACAAGCATGTGGTTGACTTTGTGCTCCCTTACGTACACAGAGACGAAGAGAGGATGGATGTAGGGCTTAGATCCTAGCAGCAAGTCTTCGTCTATGAAATGGATTGCATCTTGGGCAGCACAACATGTGGCATACTCATGTGGTCGAAGTTTCAAGCCTTCGTCCTTGCTTTCTTGCACTTCGTGGTCATCAGGACTTGCCAAGACCGCTGCTAGTGCTCTTCGCATATTCTTTGGCAATCGTAGCGCTTCCTCGATGCTAAAGTGTGTTGGCAGACCTTCTTTGGGCATGAGGGTCTTTTCTTCCTCAGTGGCGATAACTTTGCCTTCTAAAGGCTCTTCCATCTCTACTTCAACCATGTGATAAACGACTGTAATGCACTGTTGGAAGAAGTCATTCGAGAAATACTCGTGTAAAGAGACGAGAATGCGTGGCTCTTGCTCCATAGGTTCCCCATTGTATGTTGGTTTAATAACTCTTACATTTCCTTTTGGCTTCCTATTGTTGTGGCGGAGGTGATTTCCTTATTGTTTCACCTTTGGCTGTGTGACTTGTGGTTTTGGCTTCCTTGTCTTTTTGTAGGTCACCAATGTCCATCTTTCTTCATTGTTGGTAAGTGCATTTTAGTCACTTGCCCTCATCGATGGTTGTGCAGAAGGTGTCGTGTGGCTTCAGCATTGACGGGAGTGGTCATGCATTATTTGGAAAGGAACGGGATTAATTGATCCAAACACAATCGCAGTGGTGTGCATTACGGTCGTGTCTTCTAAGTCGAGTTTGATTCGCCCTTGTTATGCCTGGTTCATGATGAGCTTTTTGAGGATGAAACACATGCCAACGGGATGAATTACGATATAATGGTACTTGTAGTACCTGGGATCGTTAACGCGATTCATCTCTTCAGGGCGCTTACATTCCGGTAACTCAATCACCTTCTTTTCCAGCAAGTCGTCTAACATTGCAGCCATATCTGAGTCAGGAAAAATATGTCTTTTGCTCTAGCTTACTCAAGGAGTTTTTGTACCTATCTTGGGTGTGAGAAAGCTTATCTCTCTTTTATCTTTTTTTCTTTGTTCTTGGAGGAGATCTTGACGGGTGCATAAGAGGTTTTAATGGGGGTAGTGGTGATAGTAAAAGCTTCCTTAGCGAGCTTTTTCCCATGATTGTCCACTTTCGACGCAAATACCTTATCCTTCTTGAAGTCAGAGATAGGCTCATTTTTTCCATGATAGGCGATGCTCAACTCCATGTCGTGGGCGCATGTGACTAACTCTTCGAAGGTTCGTGGTTTGATGCCTTGAAGGATGTAGTGTAACCCCCATTGCATGCCTTAGACGCACATCTCGATCGAGAAGATCTCTGAGAGCCTGTCTTTACAGTCGAGGCTTAAAGTGCACCATCTATTGATGTAGTCCACGACTGGCTCATCCTTCCATTGTTTCATGCTTGTCAGCTCTAGCATGTTTACAGTGCGGCGGGTGTTGTGAAAACAGTTAAGGAATTTCGGCTCAAATTGCTCCCAACTGTTGATGGATTCAGGCTCTAAGTTTATGTACCGATCGAATGTTTTCCCTTTCAGAGAGCGAACAAATTGCTACGCAAGGTAGTCTCATTTCGTACCCGCATTGTTGCAAGTTTCAACGAAATGGGCGACGTGATGTTTTGGGTTTCCCTTTCCATCAAACCGTTGGTGGTTGATAACCCCTCGACATCTTTAGGATGTTAATCTTCTTAAAGTAGGGATTTGAGTACAACATGGAGGTATGTGAGCTCCCTTCATACTGCTCCTAGATGGTGTTGTCGATCATCTTCTGCAGCTGCTGGATAGAGAGAGATAAGTGTCACTGCTTGGTCTGGCTCCAGCTTCTTTTCGACTTTCTTCACCGGAGGCTCCTCTTCTTTGTCAGCTTCTTTCTTTAGTGAATCAACCTTTAGGTCGACTTTCACGTCGTGCTGCGCCTTTAGTTAGTTGGCAAGTGCAGTGATTTGCAAGTCTTTCTCCTCCACAGTCCATGTAAGTTTTGCGATCGCTTCATTCATTTGAGCCAGTTCTCCTTGATTAAAGGCGCTCATGTGGTCATGATTTGCATGGTTGAGTTGCTGCTCGAGTCGGCATCAGAAAGTAAGGACTCTGAGTACTTCATCAGGCTTTTCTCTTTTGACGCCCTTAGCGAGGCCAGGGTGATCACGGGCTCGTACCTCGAGTGTTTTTGTTCCTTCGACAGAGTTAATGCAGGGGTGGAAGCCGCGGCAGAGAGAGTTCTTGCCTTGCTTCGGGTTGTGATGCCTGAAGTGTCACCATTTACGGCGAGGATGTTCTTGTTCTTTACTTTGGTTGCGAGAACAGCTTGATCCTTTCTTGATGCCATTTATGCTTTTTTTTTTTCGCTGATTTGAAGATAGAGATGAGAGGCAGAGATTGTTCCACTGGGTGTGCCAAATTTGCAAACACAAAAAATTCCTGCGATGAATGAGACAAAAACACGCGTACAAAATAATATTTTGTATTAATTTTGGGTTTACAATCTCTTTAACAATTTGATCATCTGATTCTATCTTCGTAAGGTGTAAATTTGTGGATGGGCTGTTGATCCAAAGGGCCGTCGGGGCTTGATCTTAAGATGAACGGATCTTCAAGGGCCTTCGGGGCTAATCTTGATGAACAGTTGTGTGGATTTCTTCGAGGGGCGTTGGGCTTGACCTTGACGAACAAGGATGAACGGATCTTCAAGGGCCTTCGGGGCTTAATCTTGATGAATGATGAACAGATCTTCAAAGGCCTTTGGGCTTGATCTTGATGAATGAGGATGAACGGATCTTCAAGGACCTTTGGGGCTTGATCTTGATGAACAGTTGTGTGGATTTCTTCAAGGATTTGACGAAGAACGAAGAGAGCTTTCTTGATTCTTCGGGATTCTTGGGAATTTGGGAGGTTGGATGCTTGAAAGCTTTAGAGGTTCATAGCTTGAAGGATTTGGGGAATTCTCTTTTAATTTGGGAGTAGAGAAATGTATATGTAAATTGGTCCCCTGATCCCTTAATGGAGAAGCCTATTTATAGGCTTTAAGAATGAATCACCACCATCATTTTTTTTGTGAAGTAAGTGGATGATGTAGGTGAAATGAGTGGAGGCTGTAGGTGAAATCAATAGATGATGTAGGTAAAATGAGTGGAAGTTGTAGGTGAAGTAAGTGGATGATGTAGGCGAAATGAGTGGATGTTGTAATTTTAATGCATTGGTACATTTATTTCACCGAAATTTCGATGTCTACAACAGCATATGTCAAAAATAGCAAAAAAAAAAACAAAAAATTAAGAGATTAGGTAACGGGACCATGAGTGAAAAAAAAAACATTCAGAGATTATTCTGGTGGCCGCCCAAAATTTTGCTTTGTTCATGTTGGTTATATCCGACAAGGCCATGAGTGAAAAAAAAAAATATTTAAACCATGTGTTTATTTATTTTTAACCAATATAACATTTTAAAATAATAAAATAGTCAATTCTTGTCAGTTATAACTGGCAGAATACTAAAATAATAACTGTCAGAAACTAAAATAATAAAATAGTCAATTCCTGTCGGTTATAACCACCACCATTAACTTAAAAACCGCTGAAATATGTTAAAAATATTTAAAAATATATACGTCAAGAATTTATGTCGGATATAACCGACAGGATTTCATTGTTATCCGACTCTAACTGAATGATATGTCGAATATCTTTTATTCGACATAATGACGTATTAAACCGCCACCATCATCCGACACCTAAAGCTAATATTGTAGTATTGTGAATCGATATTTTTTTTTTGTTTTGTTTTTCAAACCAACGAGTATTAAGTAATTTAGCTACATTCATCATCTTCTAAAACTATAAATTGATTTCAACTTAAATACCAAACAACCCCCAAGTAATCAAAGATTTCCTCTTAATAACACCATCTAATAACTATCCTGATTTTGATTTTGGTTTTGGTTTTTAAATATTTGTTTTTCCAGTTAATGAATTTCTCACTTCAAAATAAATTTCTTTTTTTTCTTGGGAATTGAAAAAAAATAAAAAAAATAAAAAAGAACAGAAAAAAAAACTAGTTACATCTCCTTCCCAATCCAAAAGAAGCAAAAATAATAAACATATATACTAGAAATTAACAATCTCAGAATATTATGCCCCTCTTCACCATTCATCATTCACCTTTCACCATTCACTTTTCACCATTCACCTGTGCTAGTGCTAGGTGATGTATATGTATCTGCGTTCTGCAGTAACGAGGAGTCACTGCAAAATTTAGGGCATGTTTATGCCATGCTTAGTTCAAGTGGAACAAACTCAAGAAGGAATCACTCCTCTCCTTTAAGAGATGCTCCCCTTGATTGATTAATTCCGTAATTTCTGTCCACAACAAGCGTTTAAACAAATTCTTGATCACACGTATGTATATGTTTCTGTGGTCTTCCTCATCACCATTAGAGCAATCTGCAATCATCAAACAGATTTTGTTTTAGCATCTTAATTTCTGTAATGTGACAAAATGCATGCATGTGCTTGTTTATCGTAAACCCTAATCGGAGTAAAACGAATTTTACTACTGGTTAGGACTATCTCACACATATGTTAATAATTTTTTGCTGGGGCTGTTCTCTGAATCTTTTTTCCAAATTTTATTTTATTCAGTCCTAATTCAGGACTTGTTTTAGTGAATTGTTCCTCTAAATCTTTGAGGTCAGCTGATTAATTACTGCAACTTTAGGGTCTTTAAAAGAGATTTTGATAGAATTTAACCTCTTGGCTAAGGCATCTACGAACTCATCGTCTCCAGTCAAAGTTTTTACTAACTTGTAATTTTTAGTTCGGGAAGCAATGTCGGTTTAAACATGACTTGACTGGGCTTGTTATCTATGTTCTTACTATTAGAAGAACTAGATGCTGCCTCTGTCCAAGTCGATGTCCTAGGCTCTCAATTTTTTTAATCAAGTAGAGGCCATTTGGTTGAAACAAATTTTCAATTCTGGATGTCTGTTTGCCTAAAGACTGAAGGAATATGTTTGCTGTATAACAACTGAAACTCCATTGTACAAGGAAGTGGTGGTAGTCGATTGACTATGCTGAGTTTTTTCAGGTACTTCCTTAAACAGAGAGGCAATGCTTCCTTTTTTATTACTTCAATGGCCTTTTCTGGAGAGTGAATTGCCTTTTCTTCTTTTCCTTCCTTAGTGATATAAGTTCTAAATGGATTTTCAATGACACTTATACATTCAGTATATTCAAGGAACTTCAATTTTTTGGCACACCATTTATGCCAACTAAAAAACCTTGTATCAAACTCTTTTCCTTTCATGAACTGAAAATGGGTTTTCTTTAAGAAAGCTTGCTTTTTTGATTTTTTTCTTCTTCGAACTACTCCTCTTTTTGAAGCATTTTCTTCGTTAAGATAGTCTAACTTGATAAATTCTTTATCAGGTTCACTAAAAGTTTGATCTTGATGTTGACCATTTGAATAAATTTGTTCGAAAAAGAAAAAGTCTTGGTGCATTTAAAGAATCAACACTTAATCGACGACCAATGCTTAATGTAGCCAATTTATCAGTGGAGAATTGTATTTCTACATCTTCATCTTCGTATTGATTTATACGACTAAGTTATCTCTTTTGAATTAGTTGAGGTGGAGCTGCATCTTGCAGTCTCCATCTTTCATGTAGAGTAACATCATTCCACCTAATCATTTTAGGTATCATTGTATGGGCTTTTCTTATGTTAACTTGGAACAAAGTGGTTTTTCCCTTACAATCCATAATTTTTGCTTTACGCACAATGGACTTCATCTCATTTTAGGGTAAATTACACTTTACCACCTCATGTTTGGGATTTATTTCAACCTCATACAACATCTTCAAAACATTTCATTTTCATACTTCACGTACTATTTTATTTCAATATAATACATATGTTACATTTTCCATCCATTGGTCCGTTAAGAGCTGATGTGGCTGCCACATTTGTGCTGACGTGGCTGCCAAATTTATGCTACGTGGCAAAAAAAATAATTTCTTATGCTTTTAAAATATTATAATAATTTACCCTATTTAAAAATAAAATAAAATTTTCTCATGCTTTTAAAATATTATAATAATTTTCTCGGCCTGCGCACCACGTAGGCTTGGTAGTTTCTAGGGTCAACATTTTGGCACGCCCAGTGGGACCCAGTGCTAAAACTACGAAGTTCACATGATCTATCTCGATCAGGCTTCAAGGGATGAGTGTCATCGCCTGTTAAAGAAGCAAAAACAACTTCTCGAGAGATTGGGAAGAATTTCTGAAAGGCAAGAGGCCGGGGGGCAAATTTCCACTCCGGCCACAACCAATATTCGGCCTAAGAAAATTGTTAATTTAGCCGAAGAACAAAGGCCACCTATTTTTTCGGTCGAGACTGGAAGTGTGGTAGGCCTAGAAGAAAATGTTCAAGTTGTTGAGCCACAAATTGACTCAGAAAATGATTCGTCAGAGGAGTGCTCCAATGACGAACAAGGCCGCAACATTGGCTTAGCCCAAGAAACTACGACAATTGATATGATTATTGGCGATAAAGCCGATATGGAGAAATCTCATTTGGCTAAGATGTTTGAATTAAAAGCCGAAATTATTATGCCCGGGGGGCATAGTAATTGTTCAATACATTTGGCAGCCGATGATAGAAAATATTTCGCCAAGTCGAAAATATTTGGAGGAAAATCTTTATTCGGCCTAGAGCGAAATCAATGTGAAGATTTTGTTATTACAAGATCTCGACTTGGAATAAAGCATCGTTGGCCTCCTCCTAACTATGGTTCGGCCACTTTTCTTTTCGTTTGTTAAATATATATATATATATATATATATATATATTATTTTCTTAAACATACGGCTATGCAAGCCGATGCATAAGAAAATAAGGGGGCAACAACATTTCTGGCCGAATAAAAAATTTTGGTCGAATACACTTGTTTGATTATTTTGGCCGAATGCATTTATTTGTGAACTTTGCTTACAAAAGCCTCGGTCTCGGCCCCATTACGAAACAAAGCCTCGGTCAAAACATATATATATATATATATGTAAAAAAAAAAAAAAAAAAAGTGATAAAAATTTGCATGGCCGACAACATTATTCCAAGGCCAAGATTTGATTTTGTATATATATATATATGTATAGCTAATGGTGTTGGTCTTCGGCCACTCTAAGACCTCGGCCAACGATGAGTCCCTCGACCACTAAGCATATGGCTAATGATCCTCGGCCACTCAATAATAAACCTCGGCCAGCGATGATGTTCCTCGGCCAACTTTTTGCCGATATATGTTAGCCAAGAGGGTTGGTCAATAACAAATACTGGGGAAATCGCCGAGCTGGGCACAAATGACTAATTTCCTTAACCGTTCGGCTTACGGGCCGAAGCTCAAGGAAACTGGGGGGCAATGTTTGGACCTGATTTTACACCATCGGCCCAAGTAATCGAGGCCGTTGGGTAAGCAATTTTAAAGGATAGTAGTATGATTTTTATCGTAATATTTATCCGTTAATATTAATTACTCTTGGCATATTCTTATTATATTTTCAAGCAAGCAGTACAGTTTAAGTGGGCATGGAATTCTTGTTATCAGATTGGGATAACATGATGGGTGTGATTAGAATTGTCAAGATGCATGGTTTTCTTCTATGCGTGGGATGCCAAGATGAAATCTCTGATAATGGAGCCTCTCATATCCTGATGGGATAATTATTAGCATAAAAATATATGCTAATATATGCAAATTGGTTGGCTGACTCCATCAAATCCTACGACCAAGGACCAATAAGGATGTGGAGATTTTGAATTAAACAAAGTTTTATTTGGTTGGATAACTGCATGATGACCTCATGCGATTATATTTGTTTGATCCCGTCAAACATGGATGCTTTTTCATGGTCTTTTTAAATTGGTAATGATCCAATTTGAGATAAGGGCTGATGGGAGTTTAATCTGCACATGCAAACCACGCCACATATCAAATACAATTCTTTGAAGATCAAGCCACGTCAGGCATGCTCGTTCCTATAAATACAAGGCTACAAACAATGGAAAAGGACCCCCAATTCAACACACAAAACTGCCCTGCGTAAACTCTCTCAACAACTTTGAGATTTTTTATTTTCTCTTTTCGCTGACACATCTTCCGTTGGCATCAACAGCACTGTGAAAGCAACCGGTGATATCTTAAGTCGTCATAGATAGCTCTGTCACCGTAGAATCAGCCGGTTTCGCAGCATCTTCCGTTGGCATCAACAGCACTGCGGCGAGGACGGTTGATTACCTATCCAAGTCTCGGTCGAGAAGTATTTCTGAATCCTTATTGGTCGAGGTCATCTCATCAGCCTTCTCGGCAAAGTGAGGTGTTACAGTTATTACATTCGGCACATTGAAAGTCGAATTTGATATTGAACTTCGTAAGAATAGTAACCTTGTCTTCAGGTTCGAGAGCCCAAGAGGCCGAGACGTGTTCCTTTCTCGGCCGCAATCGCAAGACGCAAAAGTCAGCCGTGCACCCAACGCAACATCAACAAAATTTACTCCTTGGCCGAGCTCGGCCGACGAGTTGGCACGCCCCGCATTCACCGAATGACGTAGTTAGCTTATTAATTAATCGGCCTGCGCGCCACGTAGGCTTGGTAGTTTCTAGGGTCAACACCCTTACAATCCATAATTTTTGCTTTACGCACAATGGACTTTATCTCATTTTAGGGTAAATTACACTTTACCACCTCATGTTTGGGATTTATTTCAACCTCATACAACATCTTCAAAACATTTCACTTTCATACTTCACGTACTATTTTATTTCAATATAATACATATGTTACATTTTCCATCCATTGGTCCGTTAAGAGCTGATGTGGCTGCCATATTTGTGCTGACGTGGCTGCCAAATTTATGCTACGTGGCAAAAAAAATAATTTCTTATGCTTTTAAAATATTATAATAATTTACCCTATTTAAAAATAAAATAAAATTTTCTCATGCTTTTAAAATATTATAATAATTTACCCTATTAAAAAAAATTTTTAAAAAAACTATCTTCTTCCCCGAGCCCTTCCCCTTCCCTGCAACCCAAACACCTCATCCCACCCCACCCCCACCTCCCCCGCCGGCGTTTCCTCGCTCTCGTCCAAGGCCCCTGCCCGCTTCCTCCTCCATCCCATCGTCGTCACCTTCATCTCAGAATCCAGAACGTCATCTGCATTCTCGAAACCCATTTCGAAAATCCGTCTCGAAACCCATCTCAAAAATCTCTTCCCTCACAACTTAGATCCGGCGAGATGCCATTAATGCCCAACTCCTGCAACCTCAGATTCAATCCAAAACCCAAAATCCTTCGTCTCTCGGCATCTCTGCCATGTCGACAAACTAAGCCGTACATCCTTCAAACTGCACCACCGATGTTCTTTCAAACCACACTGCTAAC